GAGCTCCATAATCCAGGCCGACACTCCCTCCCTCCCTCCCGGTGCCAGTACTGAGGGAGCGCCGCACTGTCGGAGGGAGATGGATGTACTCTAGGGGGCTTGAGCTCCATAATCCAGGCCGACACTCCCTCCCTCCCTCCCGGTGCCAGTACTGAGGGAGCGCCGCGCTGTTGGAGGGAGATGGACATACTCTAGCACCTGAGTACCATAATCCACAGGGAGATGCATGACTCCCTCTGGGGACTGAGCTACACCTTGGCTTTACTTTACGGGGTGAAACCCTCCCCGTTCAGCCCCACCATCCTCCTGAGGTACATCTCACTCCCTCTGTTAAATGTTACCAATGCCCCATACGGCCCCCCTGCCCCCCCAACACAGCTGTCCCCGCCCACCCCGTTCCCTCCTCACTGACCTGCAGCCTCCTCAGTTGTTTGATAGCCTCATCACGGCCTTTGGTAGCTGCCTCGATCTGTCCCTCGGTGTCTTTCAGGTCCATCTCCAGCTTCTTCCTGGATGCCAAAGTCGAGGAACGCTGCTTACGTTCCTCTTCCAGCTCCGCCTCGAGTTCCCGGACCTGCGGGGAGTGATGGTGGGGTAAAAAGGGGTGGGGGCGGGGGGAATTGGGAGACAGACAAGCACAGGGTCAGCTGCCCGGTAATGGTTACACCCGGCCTGAATCTCGGCAAATTCCAACCTACTTCCCTCCTACACACCCACCACACACTCTTCGGCCCATCCCTGTCCGTGCCAACCCAGATATCCTAAATTAATCCAGTCCCCGTTTCCCCAGCATTTGGCCCCTATCCCTCTAAACCCCTTCCTGTCCATGTCCCCATCCAGATGCCTTTTAAATGTTTGTAACTGTACCAGCTCCCCCCACCCACTTCCTCGTTCCATACACGCACCACACTCTGTGCGTGAAAACGTTACCCCCTCGGGTCCCTATCCCCCCCTTCACCTTAAACCTATGCCCCTCTCGTTTCGGACTTCCCCCCTACCCTGGCGAAAAAGACCTTGGCTATTCATCCTATCCATGCCCCTCATGATTTTATAAACCTCTATAAGGTCACCCCATCCGACGCTCCGGGGGGGGGGGAAAACAGCCCCAGCCCACCCTTATAACTCAAACTCTCCAGTCTTGGTAACATCCTGACAAATCTTTTCTGAATCCTTTCCAATTTAATAACATCCTTCCTATAGCAGGGAGACCGGGATCGAACGCAGTATTCCAAAAGCGGCCCTAACCAATGTCCTGTACAGCGCCCCCTCCGACATGACCCTCCCGACTCCTGTACCCAACGCACTGACCAATAAAGGCAAGCGTACCGAAACCCTTCTTCATTGCCCTGTCCACCAGCAACTTCCTGACATTCAATGGCGTTACCGTCACTGAATCCCCACCCCCCCCAACCCCTATGATCAATATCCTGGGGGTTACCCAATGAGCAGAAACTGAACCAGGGACCCCCCCCACCAAGCCCCCTATCGATGCAGCGGCTACAATAGCAGGTCCGAGGCTGGGAATCCTGCAGCGAGTAACTCCCCTCCTGACCTCCCCCCCCTCCAACAATCAACAGGCACGAGGCAGGAGGGGGGGAGGGGGGAGGGGAGAGGGGAATACTCCCCACTAGCCCTGGGTGGGATAGGGCACCACCGACAACACTCGAGAAGCTCGACACCATCCCAGGAACAGAGCAGCCCCCACACACACCCTTACCTGCGCGCCCCCCACAGCGTGATTGACACGCTAACCCTCCCCCCACCCCACCCACCTACGCATGGCCGCAGCAGTGTGTGTATCAGTGCGGTGACTGCTGCGTTATGGGAATGGGACAGACAGTTGGGGGGGTGAAATGGTGACAGGGCAGACCTGTTTGACCAGGCCCCTCTGCTTCTCGTCGTTCTGCTCCTCACGGCTCTGCAGGCTCCGGTCATACTGGGCCTTAGTTGCCTGCATGGTGACCTCGAGCCGAAGTTTGGCGTCCTCTGTGCCCTGCAGCTCATCCTCTAGCTCCTCCAGCTGTGTCTTCATCTCCTCCAGCTGCTGCTCCAGTGACCGCTTCGCCTTCTCCAGCTCGTGGACCTGAGGGTGGCAGGGCAGGAGGCAACAACACAGGCAGTTAGTCAGAGTGGGGCTAGGGCACACGCAGAGACAGAGAGACAGAGAGAGAGAGAGAGAGACAGCTCGCAACGGTGGGCAGAAAACACAGGCAGCAGGCGGGATTTTGATCGAGTTCACTGAACTGTGCGAGGGAGACAGAGAGACACCGGGTGGGGGTGGAGAGAGACACGGACACAGAGCGCGCGCAAGTGAGTGTGATAGAGAGACTGAGCGCGAGCCAGAGAGATAGAGAATGAGAGAGTGAAAAGCAGAGAGAGCAGGAGAAAAACGGGGCAGAGAGACACGACGGAGAGAGAGGAAATTAGAAGATAGGAGCAGGAGGTGGTCATTTGGCCCTGCTGCACCATTCATCACGATCGTGGCTCATCGTCCAAGTCAACAGCCTAGTCCTGCTTTCTCCCCATAACCTTTGATCCCATTCACCCAAGTGCTATATCTAGCCGCCTCTTGAATATATTCAATGTTTTGGCATCAACTATTTCCTGTGGTAATGAATCCCACAGGTTCACCACTCTTTGGGTGAAGAAACGTTTCCTCATCTCCGTCCTAAATGGTCTACCGCGAATCCTCAGACTGTGACCCCTGGTTCTGGACACACCCACCATCGGGAACATCCTCCCTGCATCTACCCTGTCCAGTCCTGTTAGAATTTTATAAGTGTCTATGAGAGCCCCCTCCCTCATTCGTCTGAACTCCAGCAAAAACAATCCTAACCGAGTCAATTTCTCCTCATACGTCAGTCCCGCCATCCCCGGAATCAGCCTGGTAAACCTTCGTTGCACTCCCTCGAGAACAAGAGCATCCTTCCTCAGAAAAGGAGACCAAAACTGCACACAATGTTCTAGGTGTGGTCTCACCAAGGCCCTGTATAACTGCAACAAACATCCCTGCTCCTGTACTCGAAACCTCCCACAATGAAGGCCAACATCCCATTTACCTTCCTTACTGCCTGCTGCACCTACATGCTTACCTTCAGAGACTGGTGCAAAAGGACACCCAGGTCCCACTGCACACTCCCCTCTCCCAATTTACAGCCATTCAGGTAGCAATCTGCCTTCTTGTTTTTGCTTCCAAAGTGAATAACCTCACATTTATCCAAATTAAACTGCATCTGCCATTGATTTGCTCACTCACCCAACCTGTCTAGATCGTGAAGGATCTCTGCATCCTCGTCACAGTTCACCCTCCCACCCAACTTGGTATCATCTGCAAACTTGGAGATGTTACATTTTGTCCCCTCATCCAAATCATTAATATATACTGTGAATAGCAGGGGTCCCAGCACCGATCCCTGTGGCACCCCACTAGTTACTGCCAGCCAATGTGAAGAGGGCCCATTAGTTCCTTCTTTTTGTTTTCTCTCTGCCAACCAGTTTTCTATCCATCTCAATACACTTCCCCCAATCCCATGTGCTTTAATCTTGCACAATAATCTCCTCCACTAGTTACATCTTCACAGAGTTCTAACAGATTTGTCAAGCGCGATTTCCCCTTCATAACTCCATGCTGACTCTGTCTGATCCTGCCACTGCTTTCCAAACGCTCTGCTATAAAATCCTTGACAAGGGATTTGAGAATTTTCCCCATGACTGATGTTAGGTTCACCGGTCTGTAATTCCTCGTTTTCTCTCTCCCTCCCTTTTTGAATATTGGAGTGACATTAGCCACCCTCCAACCTGCAGGGACTGTTCCAGAGTCTACAGCATCCTGGAAGACGACCACGAAAGCATCCACTATTTCTAGAGCCACTTCTTTAAGTACTCTGGGATGTAGGTTGTTATCAGGCCTGGGGATTTATACGCCTTCAATCCCATCAATTTTCCCAGCACCATTTCTCAACTAATATTGATCTCCCTGAATTCTTCCCCCTCACTAAATCTTGCATTCTCCAACATTTCTGGTATCTGATTTGTCTCCTCTTTTGTGAAGACAGAACCAAAGCATGTATTCAGTTGCTCAGCCATTTCTTTGTCTCCTATCATACATTCCCCAGTCTGTCTGTAGGGGACCTACTTGTGTTTACCAATTTCTTTCTCTTCATGTACGTATAGAAACGCTTAGTGTCAGTCTTTATGTTCCCTGCGAGCTTACTTTTGCACTGTATTTTCCCCCTTCTCAAACAATCTCGTGGTCCTTCTTTGCTGAATTCTAAACTGCTCCCAATCCTCAGATTTATTACTTTTCTTGGCCAACCTGTGAGCTTCTTCCTTGGATTGGATATTATCTCTTATTCCCTTTGTTCGCCATGGATTGGCCCTCTTACCCATTTGGCTTTTGTGCCAGACAGGAATAAACAGTTGTTGCAGATTCCCCCATGTATTCCTTCAATGTTTACCATTTCCTATCTGCTGTCATCCCTTTAAGTAACTCTCCCCAATGTATCAAGGCCAACTCTCGCCTTATATCTTCGTGGTTTCCTTTATTAAGGTTCAGCACCCTAGTCTCCGAATTAACAACCTCACTCTCCAGCCTGATAAAAATTTCTATCATGTTATGGTCGCTCTCACACAGCTAGATTGGCAATGATTCTTTTCTCATTACACAGTACTCAGTATAACATAGCCTGCTCTCTAGTTGGTTCCTCCACATATTGATCAAGTAAACCATCCCGTATACACTCCAGGAATTCCTCTTCTACGGCAGTGTGGCTAATTTGATTTGTTCAATCTACGTGCAGATTAAAATCACCCGTGATCACCGATATTCCCTTATCAAATGCATCTCTAATTTCTTATTTCATGCCATTCCCAACATCACCACTGCAGTTTGGAGTCTATATATGACACCTACTAATGGTTTTTGCCCCCTGGTATTTCTCAACTCTACCCAGACAGACCCCACATTGTCAGAGCTAATATCCTCTCTCACTATTGCGTTAATTCCCTCTTTAACCAGCTACACCACTCCAACACCTTTTCCTTCTTCCGTGTCCCTAAATACTGAACACCCTGGGTTTCCATCCCTGGTCACCCTGTAGCCATGTCTCCGTAATCCCAATTATATTGTACCCGTTTACATCTATCTGCATGAAAAGTTCACCCACTGTATCGCAAATGTTCCGCGCATTAACACACAAAGCCTTTAAGCTCAGTCTTTTTAACATTGTTTGTCTCGCTCTTGTTTTTGTCAATAGAGAGACAGACAGAGCACTCACAGTGCTCTCATCACTTACGTTCTTGCCCACATCGTCCTTGGAGCTAATCAGGTCCTCCATCTCAGAGCGAAGCTGCTTGTTCTGTCGCTCCAGCTCCTCCTTGCTTTCCACCGCCTCCTCGAGAGCTCGGCTCAGCGAAAGCACCCGGGTCTCCTTCTCCCGCGCTTCTGCTTCCGCTCTGTCCCTCTCCTCCGCATGGCGCGCTGACACACTCTTCTCTTCTGCCAGCAGCTGCCGAGAAACAGAGAAACCTTCAACTCCACTCGCCTTTCCATAATGGCTGTGTTAACCCCCGGTGCCAGCACTGAGGGAGCGCCGCACTGTCGGAGGGAGCTGGATATACTCTAGGGACCTGGGCTACATTATCCAGGCCGACATTCCCTCCTTCCCTCCCCCCCCGGTGCCTGTACTGAGGGAGCGCCGCACTGTCGGAGGGAGATGGATATACTCTAGGGGGGACTCGAGCCCCATAATCCAGGCCGACACTCCCTCCCTCCCTCCCGGTACCAGTACTGAGGGAGCGCCGCACTGTCGGAGGGAGATGGATATACTCTAGGGGGGACTCGAGCCCCATAATCCAGGCCGACACTCCCTCCCTCCCTCCCTCCCGGTACCAGTACTGAGGGAGCGCCGCACTGTTGGCGGGAGATGGATATACTCTAGGGGGACTCGAGCTCCATAATCCAGGCCCGACACTCCCTCCCGGTGCCAGTACTGAGCGCTGACCTTTACTCTGGAGGCTCTTACCTGATCGAACTTCTTCTGCCTCTTCTCCAGGCTGCTAACCAGCTGCCTCTGATTGTCTAGGTCCAGGGTCAGGTCGTCGAGCTCCTGCTGCAGCCTGTAGCGATTTTTCTCCTGTTTGTCACAGGCAGCGCTGCGCTCCTCCAGTTTCTGGCTGGTCACCTCGAGTTCCCTCAGTAATTTCCGACGTGATTCCTCAGCTCCCTCCAACTGAATGGCATCCTCTTCCACCTTCTTCCGAGCGTCGGCCAACTACAGACAGCGGGGAGAGAGAGAGACCGAGGCAGAGGGGGATGTGAGAGGGGAGGCGCAGTTTACTGAGGCAGAGGGGGATGCAAGAGACCGGGGCAGAGGGGCATGTGTGTGAGAGAGAGGGATTTGAGAGAGAGGGATATGAGAGAGAGGGAGAGAGAGGGAGAGAGAGAGAGAGAGAGAGAGGGAGAGTGGGGGAGGCAGAAACAGGGGAAGGCTGCGGTGCAGTGGGATCTAGGACATGAAGCAGAGAGGGAACGCACAGGCACAGCCATTGACAGTTCAGGGGGAAACTGGCCCGTTTATCGCCAGGCGGGGGTGGTGTATCAAAGTGAGGGAGTCCTGCTCCAAGCGGACGGTTGGGGGTGGGGAGGGGAATGGGCAGTGAGACCCTCTGGCCCCTACAGCTGGAGCATCGGGTCCTGTTCCGGCGATCACTGTCCTACCTGAGCCTGCAGGCCGAGCACCTGACGAGACAGGTTAGCCTTTCCTTCCTCGTCTTCCTCCATTTGCTCCATTAGACTAGTCTTCTCAGCTTCCAGCTGTCGGACCCGGGTACTGAGGTTCAGTTTCTGTCTGGTCTCATCCTGGAGCAGCTCCTGTAAACAGCACACGGTTAGATCCAGAGTAAAGCTCCCTCTACACTGTCCCCGCCCCACCCCCCATCAAACACTCCCAGGGACAGGGGTTTAGATACAGAGTGAAGCTCCCTCTACACTGTCCTTTCCCATCAAACACTCCCAGGGACAGGGGGTTAGATACACAGTAATGCTCCCTCAGCACTGTCCCCCCCTCCAAATCAAACACTCCCAGGAACAGCAACAGCACGGGGTTAGATACAGAGTAAAGCTGCCTCTATGCCCATTGTGTGTGTGTGTGTGTGTGTGTGTGTGTGTGTGTGAGAGAGAGACAGAGAGAGAGAGTGGGGGGAAGGGAGAGGGGGAGAGACAGTGTGTGTGTGAGAGAGAGAGTGCGAGAGAGTGAGTGTGTGTGTGTGAGAAAGAGAGTGTGAGAGAGTGTGATAGACTGTGTGAGAGAGTGAGACTTTGTGCATCTGTGCGTGCGTGAGAGGGACTGAGAATGTGTGAGAAATTGTGTGCATCTGTGAGTGCGAGAGAGAGACTGTGCACGCATGTATGAGAGCGAGAGGGGCTGTGTGCGCGCGTGCGAGAGAGCGAGCATTTCAGTTTAGGTGTCACACCGTTCCATGCACTTGTTGGTCATTAATAAACCTCTCTGCATTCTTGCTCCGTGAGATGTTAGCTCAGTCGGCCAACTCGAGATGCAGAGAGACGCCAACAGCATAGGTTCAACTCCCACGCCGGCTGACATTAGCAGGCGCAGCTCTTCCCTCTCAAACCTCGCCCAAGGCGTGGTAACGCCCCCCCCTCACTGACCCCCACCTTTTCTCTCTCACTATCTAACGAAAGGGTAGCCCTATGGTCTGGTGGGCGACAGTCACTTCACCTTTCTGGTGATGAAACTTGGCATGAATTTTTTTCTCTCTCAGTTGGAGAGGGGCCAGGCTTGAGCAGTGACTGTTTCATCTTCACCCCCCTCCCGAAATGCCCCGGCCAGTCTCGCCCAGAGCCACTCACCTGAGTATCCTGAAGGTTCGACTCCAAACTTGACACCTCCTTGGCCAGTTTGGTGGCCTTGGACTCTGCGGTTCCAAGAGCTGTTGAGGTGTTGTCCAGTTCAGCCTGTGTGCAAGAGTGAAATGGGCACAGGCAGGGAGAGGGGCAGCGGGGATGGAGAGACAGAGAGACAGATAAAGAGAGAGAGAGAGGCAGCAGGGATGTAGAGACAGAGAGAGAGACGGGGGGGGGGGGGGGGGGGGGGGGGGGGGGGGGGGGGGGGGGGGGG